CTTACAATAATTATCTTAATTTAACCAAAGTTTTATTCTATATTAATTGCATTTTTTACACTTTTAGGTTATGAAATTTTTTTCTTTCCTATTTTAATTTTATAATTAAAACACATTTTCAATTGGCATTTTTTTATCTTTGGTTACACAATGAAATGAATATTTTTAATCTATATGTATCAAAGTTGTCAATACCATACCTATATGCGTATCGATTTTGTTATTAGAACGGTACGTATTAAATACCAAAATTCTTTGCGTACTGTTTCAAATTTATGGTTATAAATATATACATTTATAAATTAAATATCAAATTTTAAAATAAAATAAGAGATACTAATGTTTAAAACCATTATATTCCTATAAATTGAAAACAAGTTTAAAACGATCATTTTTAGTCCCTCAACTTCTAATATATGCATATTTTTCATCCATCCACTTTAAGTTAAGGGATTAAAAATCTGTGTATTTAGACAAATTTAATGAAGTAATTGATAAAAGGACTAAAAAAAATATGAAGAATGGATTAAAAAAATACATAAAAAAGTTAAAAGATGAAAATTGTGTAAAACATTAAAGTTAGGGACCAAAAATAAAATTTATCTTTTTAAAATTTGAATTAAATTGTACCAAGTAATTTTTGTGTTCCGGTAAATACGCGAAATATCGACCAGTACACCAAAACTTGATCGAAATAGATAAAATTTGACCAAAATAAAATTGGATTATGTACTATTTTAATTTAATATAAAAATCAATATGTACCAGTCGTATCAATCGGTATGGTAAAATATTAATAACCTTATATGTATAGTCAAAATAAGATATTTATTCAGAGAAAATATTCATATATAAGGTTAGAACTTTGTTAATTTTTTAATTTAAGAATATAAATTTTTTGAGTTTTTAAATTAAATAATAAACTTTTCTTTTTTAAATAAAGATCTAAAATTTATAAAATTTTAATTAAAAAATACAAAAATTTCTCTATTTATATTTAAAAATTTATTAAATAACTATAATAACATAACAAATAATAATCTTATTAAAAATTATAAAATTAATACATTTAAATAAAAAAATAATAAAATTTATATATTTATTTACACATTCCCCCTTCTTTGAAGTTCGAGGGAGGAACTATGGTCAAATGGAGCAGAGCAGACAGAGAGAATCCGAGAAATTTAGGCGACTGGTGGAGCACGGCGTGGGGCAAATATCTACTATTGTACACGTCTTTTGCCAGACGGAGACGGTCTGTCGTCAAGCGTTTACCACGCGCCACATTGTCAGTGGGCGGCTACCCGACAAATCATTCAAACATTTATTATGCCATCGGATTTAACCGCGTGCCCTGTGTTCCGTGGGGGATAACGATAAACCAACGAACGATTCAAAAAACGGCGACCACAGTGATTACACGTCTTGTTGACTTTGAATCTTAGCGGTTCACATGCAGGCTCCATAATGTCAACGGAAGACCAGTCAAGTGTCAACAATAATTTCCCATCCCTAAGGCCTAAGCCTTGTGTATTGTCATTATCTACTTGGGGGCTTTCCATTTTTAAGATAATTAATTTTTTGACAACAAAAACATATAAATTCACAACGAAAAAATTACCATTGGTTTTTCATTCCCTAGTTAAAAATAATTTTTAGAAAAGAGAATTTTCTATTTTTTAGTGTTAAGAGAAAAAGTAGAATTAATTTCTTTTTAAATTTATTTTTCTATTGAAGAAAATCAATGCAAGGGAAGGATGTTTGAATACAATACTGAATTGTATTTCTGTTGTTTTTATTCTGTACATTTGAGTAGCTGTTATATACAATCATAAGAGCAAAACTATATCCTATAATTGTGTATACAAATAAGGAATATAAATATTATCTTCCTAATACTGTAGAGACGTTGCCTTTTAACTGTTGTACTGGCCTTCCCTTAATTTTTGCTCATGGGATTGATTAGCTACTTTCTTTATTCCTTGATTAGCTTTGTTAGCTAAGTCTTGTGTCAACTGTTTCCTCTCACTTGGTTTATGCGTTGATCCTACCTTTTTGCCTTCACACTCCCCCTCAAACTGGAGGTAGGTGATTCAACCAACCCCAATTTGAGTTTCAATAGTTGAAATTGTGCTCATGGATGAGGTTTTGTGAGTAAATCTGCAACTTGATCTGAACTAGAAATGTACTTGGTGATTAAAGTACCAAGAGCCACTTTTTCTCGAACAAAGTGATAATCCAACGCAATATGTTTTGTACTGGTATGAAACATAGGATTCACAGACATATGTAATGAGCTAATGTCATCTGAGAAGAGTTGAGGTGGATGAGGAAGGGAAACTCCGATGTCCCATAGAAGATAAGTTATCCAAGTGACCTTAGCTGTGGTAGATGCTAATGCTCTATACTCTGCTTCAGTGGTTGAACGAGCAATGGTATATTGCTACTTCAAAGACCAAGAAATACAGTTTGCTCCAAGAAAGACACAAAATCCTATGGTTCTTCTTTTAGTAATTGGACATCCAGCCTAGTCTGAATCACAAAAGCCAGTTAAGGATAATGTACTATAAGAAGAAAATCGAAGACCATGATGCATAGTCCCTTTAATATATCTTAAAATACATTTAACTTGTCGTAGATGAGTAATAGTGGGTTGTTGCATGAATTGGCAAACTCTATTAACAGCATGACATATGTCAATTCTCGTAATTGTCAAATATTGTAGGGCCCCAACAATTTTCCTATACTTTTGTGTATCCACAAGATCATTGTCTCATGGAGTAATTGTGTCTTTGGCCACCAATGGGGTAGCAATAGTTGCAGCTTCAAGCATGGAAGCTTGAGTAAGAACATCTCTGGAATATTTAGCTTGTGATAGAAAAATGCCCTCTAGGAACTTGGTAACTTCAATACCTAAAAAGTAGCTAAGAGATCCGAGGTCCTTAAGGGCAAACTTGTTGCTTAAATTGTTGATAACTTCTTGTAGTAATGTCAATGAGCTAGCTGTGAGGACAATGTCATCCACATATAATAAAAGTAGTATAGTGTCCTGAACATTATGAAGAATGAATAAAGAGGAATTTGCTTTACTACAAGAGAACCCCATTTTTAAGAGTTGGAAAGTGAATGTGTCAAACCATGCCCTTGAAGCTTGCTTGAGACCATAGATAGATTTGTTAAGCTTACATAGTCAGGATGAATTAGATCTTCAAGGCCAAGTGGTTGGCGCATGTACACTTCTTCCTTGAGGTTGCCATGGAGAAAAGCATTCTTTACATCTAGCTGTCTAAATGGCCAGAACAAAGTTGTAGCAAGAGCAAGGACTAGCCGCAAGGTTGTTGGTTTTAGAATAGGACTAAAAGTCTCCTCAAAGTCTACTCTTGGTACTTGAGAGTATCCTCGTGCTACCAATCGGGCTTTAAATCTATCAACATTGCCATCAGAATTCAACTTTGTTTTGAACACCCAATTTGATCCAACAATATTAGTTTGTGGTGAAGGTGTAGGAACCAATGTCCATGTGTTGTTTTTATGAAGTGCCTCTAGTTCTTCCTTCATTGCAGTGACCCAGTGTGGAAGTTGCAATGCTTTCCTTATTGTTTAGGGTTCTTGAATGTCGACATCTGCATCAATTAGAGAAGATGTATTAGTGGTCATAACATGAGCAGATTTTGGAATCATAGTTTGAACATGTCCTATATGCTTCCCTGATTTTGCTCTAGTCACCATAGGATGAACAGATGTTGAAGTAGTATTGTGAGAACGTGGTGGTGCTCCTTCACATTCTGAGCTAGATGTCTCTAGTGTGGATGAAAGTTGTAAATTGTTTTGTCCTCCTTGACCAATACTTGATGTAAATGGACTGGTTATCTCAACTTCATGTGTATTAATCATGGCTGAAGAAGATCCAGGATCTTCTAGAATCCATGTTGTTGTTGATAAATCTTGCTAGAATTTTGTGTCTTTGTGGTTTGAGCACGGACTTTCCTCATCTATTGTAATTATTGGAGTTATGTTAGGTGTTGTGTTATTATCTTTCTCTTTGTCAGTAGCAATGGCTATAGAGATTGGTGTAGAACTACGCTCATCTAGCTTTCTTGAGGGCTGTAAATGTGAGGAAGCATGTGTCCACTCGTCATAATCTGGGTATTTACAAAGCTTTCCACCTATACTAACATTACTTGAAAGCTGTGAGAGATTAGTATATGGAAGAAAGTTTTCATCAAAAACAACATGCCTTGATATATATACTCGTAGAGTAGCAGGGTGTAGACATTTGTACCCTTTGTGAATTGGACTATATCCAATAAAAACATAAGGTAAAGACCTTGGCTAAAGCTTATTTGCAGCATAGTCCTTAAGATAAGGAAAACAATGGCATCGAAACACTTTTATCATAGAGTAGTCAGGAACCTTATCGTAGAGAAGATAATAAGGACTCTTATTTTTCAATACAGGTGTGGGCATTCAATTGAAAAGAAAGATAGTAGTAGAAAATCTATCTACCTAGTAGCGTGGTGGCATGTTAGCATGAATTAACATTGTCAAACCGATCTCAACTATATGCCAATCTTTTCTCTTTGCGATTCCATTTTGCTCCGGCGTGCCAGGACGAGACATTTGCCGTTTGATGCGACACTCAGCTAGATAATTGGTAAATACCTTATTGGAAATTCACCACCACCATCACTTTGAAATATTTGTATATTTTTGTTAAACTGAATTGCTACCATTTTCTAGAATTTCTGAAACTCATCAAAGAAATTAGATTTCTCATGAAGAGGATAAAACCATGTATATTTATTGTGGTCATCTATAAAAATAACATAGTAAATAAATTGTTTTGTAGATTGAGTTGGAGAGGGTCCCCATAAGTCACAATGAACTTTTTGAAATAAAGATGTAGCTCTTTCATTGCTCCTATTAAAAGGAAGCTTACAGCTTTTCCCCATTTGGCATCTAGTGCACAAAGATGGGGTTTTATTCCATTTTGAAACAACAATATTGTTTTTTGAAGCTAAAGTTTTTAAGACATTAGAATTTGGGTGTCATAATCTCTAGTGCCAAATAGAGTTTGTGGCTTTATTTGAAATGGCTGCAAGAGCAAACTTCTCTCATTCTTCTAGAGCATATAATTATCCTTTCCTAGTTCCTTTTGCTAACACCATCTGTGTTACTTGGTCCTTAATCACAAAACCATCAGATGAGAATTCAAATATGCAAAGATTATCATCAGTAAACTTACTAATTGAAATAAGATTCTTTTTAAGATTAGGAACAACAAGAACATTATCCAATTTAAAGGGCCAATAGATGCTATACCAATATGTGATATATGTAATGGGGTGCCATCACTGGTGAAAACCTTTTGGTTACCATAGGTCTCTTGAAATAAAGTTTACTTGAATCTACAGTCATATGATCAGTAGCACGCGTGTCAATGTAGGTATTTTGGTCTTTGTCATCCACCATTGTGAGTGCTGTAAGTGCTTGTAATAGCTCCTCACTTTGATATGCATGATCAAACCTATACCAGCACTTTAACATTGTATGACCTGTAATTCCACATATTTGACAGGGATTCTCACCTTTTTTTTTTTATTTTTCACTTACAAACTTTGAGGCATGGTTTATTATGGTGATGGGTTGTTGTCCATCAAGTTGTTTCTGTTATGATGGTTAAACCAGCTATGATTGTAATTTTCAGCTTGGACAAATCCTCTTCCATGAGAATTAAAGTGTCTGCTATTGTATCCTCTGCCTCGATTGCTTCTCCCTCTTTATGCCACAAAAACTTGAGAGTATGCTGGTTCCTTATCCTTGCTTTCTTGTTTTGTTGCTTGCAAGTCCCTTTCATTATTTTACAATCCTGTAGTGTACTGGTTGAAGGTGGGATATGGTGCCTTTTATAAAACTGTAAGGTTGTACGGTTGATATTTGGTTCCAACAACTCTAGACAATTGAAACACCTTGTCCAAGTCATCGAGAGGCTTGTGGATTGCAGCAAGCGTATCACACATCCCTTTGAATTTCCTAACAAAGCTTTCAATTGGTTCATTGTCTCTCATTTTTACTGCTAATTGCCCCTTGAGATGCAACTCATGTTCTTTGGTTGAAGCTAGATAGTGCTCTTCAAGACATTTCCAGATTTGAGATGATTCACATCCAACCACCAGACTCAATGCCTCCTCATTCATTGTCCCAAGTAACCAACTAGTTAGTAATCCATCATTATTTAGCCATATATCAAAGTCTGGATTTGGCCCTTCCTTGCTCTCCTTTATGATGTATTTTTTTGGTGCTCCTCCTTCAAGGTGATGCATCAGTTGGGCACTCCTAATTAGTGGAAGCACCTATGATTTCCAGGGCAGAAAATTAGAGCTAGGCAACTTCACCGAGACCAAGCTTGCCATTTGATGGAAGCTTTGAATGGTAAGCACGCTCTTGTTTTTAGCCATGAATATAATCTGATGGATTTGATGAGAAACTCTATTTTGACTATTTTAGAAGAATGGTTTGTTCAAGAATAGAAAAAACAAAGCATTCATATGCAAATAATAACCTGCTTTGATACCATGAAGAAAATCAACACAAAGGAAGGAAGTCTGAATACAATACTGAAGTATATTTCTGTTGTTTTTATTCTATACATTGAGTCGTTGTTATATACAATCATAAGAGCAAAACTAGGTCCTATAATTATGTATATAAATAAGGAATATAAATATTATTTTCCTAATACTGCAGAGATGTTGCCTTTTAACCGTTGTACTAGTCTTCCCTTAATCTGTGCTCATGCGAATGATTAGCTGCTTTCTTTATTCCTTGATTAGCTCTGTTAGCTAAGTCTCTTGTTAGCTGTTTCCTTTCACTTGGTTCATGCATTGATCTTGCCTTTCTGCCTTCATATCTACGTCATTTAATATTAAATAAAAGCTTTCATAAAAAAAAATAACTTTAATTATTATATAATCAAATAATTATTAAAATCAATATTTTTTATGCACTTTTTGTTATCTACTTTATGTTATGGCTACTTATTACTTGTTATTCACTAACCATTATTTACTATTCATTAATTGCTAAATATTATATTTCAACCTTTATTCTAAACAACCCCTAAATTAAAGAAACAAATATTAAATGATTTTATTTTAGTTTTACCCCTAGGAAAGTTCTTACTCTATCACCCTCAATAAGGGATAGACCACTCATTTTCAAACCCCTCCCCACCTAATCTTAGAGTTTGAATTTCAAACTTAAGATATTTATATTAGAAATTAAATCTTAAGTTCAAAATTCAAATTCCTAATAAAAAAAAACTTCTTGAAAATTGAATTAAGAAATTTTAAAAAGATTATATTTTTACTTTATTACCTTTAATACAGATTTAGCCTTTTTTTTTTACATATAGTGATTATTGATTGAGGTGTTTAATGTTCATTTACACATATATTCACACTGCTTTCTCTTCAATTTAATTATAGGCATACCATTCACACCTAAATTGTAGAACTTATAAAAAATTTACCTCACCATTACTCTTCAAAAAAAAAAAATCAAATTTTAATCCACATAAGCCGGAACCAGAAAGTGTAGGCTGTACAAACGGCCGTAAAAACGGCAAAAAGAGTTCCCATAAACTCACGTTTTCAAAAAATCTCTTGATTTTGTTTAAAATGTTTGGTTTGAAAAAAAATTTTAGCCTTTACATATAATCCATTTCTTTTAGTTTCGTTTATAGAGTATTCGGGGCGGAGATATAAATAGAAAAAAAAAAGTAAATTTCTTAATTTATTAATTTTTTTAGTTTCATTTATAGAGTATTTAGAACGGAGATACAAAAGGAAAAAAAAAATTTTAATTGATTAAATTATAATATAATTATTTTTTTATTTTTTTAATTAGAGCAAGTGGCTCAAGAGAAAAAAACGAGGAAAGAGATTGAATCTACATTATGATGAAAAATATTTACATTACACTATTAGGCGATTGGTCCGGTAGACCTTCTTCGTTATAATATAACCAATTAAAAACCCATTCTTATCATTCCTTTTCCCAAACTAAATATTCTATTAAACTTCATAATCATTTATAGCGGTCCAGTGCCCGTCAAGGCAATGCTGGCAGTGGCGTCCAATCATTGGACGGACGGCTGACGCAAAACGGACACACATACAAACGTATTTTTAAAAGTGCCACTATAAATATAAATTTAAGGGTTATTTTATTTTGTGCTTTTAATTACATAAATTAAGAATATTTTATTATTATTAATAATTATTATTAAAAAAATAAAATTTAATATTTAATTAATTAATTATTAAATTAAAATAGTATATATAGTATTAGTGATAAAATTAATATTAATTTTTATTTTTTTATATTAATTAATACAAAAAAATATATTAATTATATCATTAATTTATATTTTAAAGGTACATATTAAATAAATTTTAAATTTAAATACATAAAATATTAATTTAATTTAATTAATATTGTTAATAGTGCATCTTATAAGCATTGTCAATAATTGGACTCTTTTTTTTTTGAAATTATTAAATGATTAATTTACTTAAAGTAATTATGTGTAGTTTAGCAAGTTAATAGATGATGAATATCATTAACTTAAAAAAATTTTCTAACATTCTAGAAAATAAAATAATCTTCTTTTTAAATAAAAATTTAGAAGCACCTTATTTAATTTAATTTTAAATTTGACTTATTTAATATATGAAATAAACTTGAAACAAGCATGAATCAAGTGACTTACTATCAATTAACTTATAATTTAAAATAATTTAATAATTTAATAAAGTCATGACATAATTTGAGTTTGATATTTTATAGATAAGACTATAAAATACATTTTTATATGGTTTCAATAATTTTATTTTATCATAAATGAGCAAGTGACAAATATCTTGTAAGCCCAACGTAAAAACTCAAATTTAAACTTTGGCCTCTCTAATTAACTTTTAAGCGAGTCCATTTATTTGGAATCTTATTAATTTATTCCTTACATAATGATCCTTTTTGTTTTCTATTTTAATAATAATAAATGGGACAAATTTCGGATCAAAATTTAGATTTAATGATATAATATAAATTACATTATTTAAAATATTAAAAATTAAATTTTATGTTATTTAATAATTAATTTTTTATTTTTTAAAATTTATAGCATTATATATTAATTAATTTAATAATATGATATTCACCACATCATTAATTTTAAATTTTCATTTAAAATTTTTATTCTTCTTATAAGTACTATTTTTTTTTAATGTATACATAATGATTTCTTACTGGCCCTCAATTCACTCACAAAAGTTACAAAACCCGCAGTGTTAATTTATTGAAAAAAAATGTTACACGATTTAAATTATTTTAATTTGTAAAATATTAATAGATAATTTATACAATAAAATAAAAAGTCTTAAATTTATTTTCTAGATAATTTATTTTTATTGTTATTTTATAAAATTAACGTGCATCAATGTTAATTTTGAAAAATAATTAAAATTTTAATTTATATTTAAAAATTAAAATATCATCTTCTTAAATATTATATTTAAATTTAAAATTTTATTATATATTAATATAATTTATTTTTAAATTTAAATATTAATATTTAATAATATAATTTTTTAAATTTTAAATTAAATATTAATTAGATAAAATTACATAATTTAAAATTTTTCCGTACTATCCACAAAAAAACGTAATATAAATATTTCCAGCATTTTCAACTCTGTAATTCAAAATCGTAACCAATAACAGCCAAAATAAGGAAGGAGATTTCAAAGACTCATCTCTTCTCCCAACGATTTCTCTCTCTCCACCTCCGTCTTCTTGACTCAACGCACAGTGTTGTTTATAGATAAGATAAAGAGCCGGCCGTAGCTAGGGTTTTGGAAATTTTCTGACGAAAAACGGTGCCGTTCCTGGTGATGGGCGATGAGAAGACGGCGATCGTGATGACCAGTAGAGACAGAGATCGAGAGCTTCTTATTCCGGTCGCCGACTCCCCCGTCGATGACTCCGCCAAGCCTTCGCCTTCTTCTTCCTCTTCTTCACATCACGCCGGTCGTGAGGTCAGATTTCATTTTTAATTTTCGAATTTTTTTTTTTTCTTTTAAGGTTTCGATCGGTTAGAAGTCGTGTTCCTTTGAATGATCGATTCCATTTCACTTTTGGTTCAGTGTCGAGATTTTCAGGTGGATTGAATTGGAGTGATTTGGAGCTTGTTTTTGTTGCTAATTTTGGAAATGTCTACAAATTTGTAGATGATTTCAATTTAGAACCAGCTAATTTTTTCTTTCGGAACTCATTACCTAGTTATTTGTGCATTTTAAGGAAATAAAGCTGCTTAAATCTCTAAGCTTATTTGATTGACTTGAGCGCTTATTGTGAAGTTAGCAATCTTGATGGTCTCAAACTGATTTCAACGCGCTTGAGACTGAAACCTTTACTTCTGTTTCACGAAATCAACCTGCTTTCTGTGTTTACATGGCATTGTTAGGCTTCGTTTGTTGGTGCTGTGCTGCGCTTTGCTGTGGCTATAGGTTTTTTTTGTCTTTTACTATCGCAAAAATATTAATTAGAATTAGTAAAAGTATATAAAAATTAATTAGAATTAATTAAGAATTATAGATTTACATTTTTAGATAAGCTGCTGTGTGAAAAAGGTCTGCGAATGAAGCCTTAGTTAGGAATGGATGTCTAATTTACTGGAGCTATGAAAGAGATGGGAGGCTTCTAACAAATGATTTCCTTATGTATTGGAAAGCTAATAATATTTAGAAATGAATTTCGCGGCAATTCAAGAAGAGTTGTATTTGGTTTTGCATGGTGATGGTTTGTAGTTTCTGAATACATTAATGCCTCATTGTGTGCCCCACTATTGTTGTGTTAATTTTTCTCAGGGAGAAAATGTTTTGTTACCTAATTGTTTTGTTATTGGTCAAAGCCCTCTTTGCAACATCGAACATTCTTGTGCCCATCTAGGAACTGAATGTATATATTTTTATATGTGTCTGCATGTTTCTGTTAATCTAACAAATTGCGTTTTTAGATGTGCAGACCTTTTACAAAGTTGTTAGGAGCTGGGCATCAAAAAAGTTCATGACAGGATGGTGAGCAACTCTTTCTGCAATCTCCTTTATTGCTTAAAGTTCTTGAACTTATGATGTATGCTCAGATATTTTTCATCTGTATGATTTGCATGTTACTAATGTGTTTCACACTTTCACTTGGTTTGTGCTATATTTTCTCTGTTCTTGATCATAGAAAAAATTGTTTTCTTTTGGGTGACTGTTGGAAGTCTATTCTTAATAGTGCAATGTTAATACCAATTTATATGTACTACCTGATTATCTTTGTTGAGACTTTAATGATTGTAATTAATTTTGGATACTTATGTATTCCTGGAAGTTTTCCTAGCACTTTCAACAATCTTGACAGAAAATGATATTTCTTCCCTTTTTTAGCCTAATAAAATAAGTATTTAAGGAGAATAACTTGGATGCATTGCCTTTCCTGCTGGAATACTCCCTGCACCATTAATATTTTGATTGCATCTCCCTGCGCCCAACCCTCCTCCTTTTTCTGTTTTTCCTTCCATTTCCTCCTCCACCCTGTTATGTTATTGTTGTCCCCTGTTGATATTTTGGTGTGAAGCATTCCTCCTGGAATACTCCCTGCACCACTACTAGCTTGATTGCATCCCCCTGCCCTTTTTTGGTTCACCCTTCCATTTTCTCACCCTGTTATGTAACCATTGTCCCCTGTTGATCTTTTGGTATGAATCATTCCTTTTATTTTTCTTTCCCTCACATTATTCAGCTACATAAATTCGATCTCATACATTTTTTTTTTCTCTTGGCAATGCTTTCTGGAAGAATTTTGTTAGGAGCTTGATCTCAGAATAAATCCTCATTAAAGGAACCTGAATGCTTTTGGTTAAGGTCACATTGACTTTGCTTCTAGGCCAACGTCTGATTTTTCATTTTCCCTGTACATTCCTTCCCCTATAATATGGTTGGTTTCACAATGAAATGATACTATCCTTTCATTAAACATACTTAGAAACTTAATGGATGATGTTATATGTGGTAGAATGTGTGATTTATCTGATACAGTCATCATTGGGCTCATGCCACTTCTAACCCTCTAGATATGGGAAGTATAGGAACTGGATTTTGTATGATCATGACATGCCTTGGTATTGTACTTATGCCTCGATACTGAAAGTCATGCCTTATGTTATAGCAATTGCTCACTCAATCAGATTTTGCAGTGTCATCCTGTTTCCAATAGCAATCACTTTCTACATAACGTGGTGGTTTATTCACTTTGTGGATGGCTTTTTCTCTCCAATTTATGCTCAGCTTGGAATTGACATTTTTGGTAAGCAGTCTTTTTCTAAAAACCAAAGAAGAAAAATTCTCTACCATTCCTCTTGAGATAGTGATCTTAGCTCTTAATGATAAAATATTTTCTTATTCTTTTATTTTTATTTCAATTTTTTTTTATTGGCAAAAAAACTTCATTAGTAACTGGAATAGGACTGGTACCCCAAAGCATATACAAACTTAGTCTCAATACAACAAAAGTACCTCCCAAAGCAAAGCCTCAACAGTGCAATTTTTTTTTTCTTATGATTGACACCTCAACAACGCCTATTACAATTTAACAACCTCCCCTGCACATAAGTAAGGGAACTGAAGCCAGCTTTAGGTCTCTATTTATGCTTCTCTAAAGGAAAAGATAATAATGGTGAGATCTCCATTTTCTAAGATCGACAAAACAGATTTGCTTGTAGAAATTTCCTTAATGCCTAGCTGATACTTGTTATTAATTTCCCTAGATAAAAAATCTTCTCATGTCATTTCTGTTGGACTGGCTATTGACGTAGAGATTAATACTTCCATTTGTTGGTTATAGTCTGCCAATCTGCCAAGTACAAAATTGCAGATCTCCTTGGAGTTGTAAATCTATTTTATTAGAAACCACTAGGAGGCTAGGACTTGTTCCTGCTGTTAATATTTTTCTTTCTTTCCTTAGGATTTCATTTGCTGATATTCTTCTTGGATAAAAGAAAGATTGAATGCTTCCTGTTAGAATTTGAGCTTCTGATCTGTGATGAGATATCAGATTTTTCTGTACACCACTATGCTTTATGCAGATTAAAAATGGTCTCTCCACATAACCTCACAATTTGGCTGCTTCATTTTTCTTATATATGCTGCATTTGATGGTCTCTTGATATTTTTCTCTCTTCTCTTTTTTTTTTTTTCATCAGCAAAAGGAAAATGCATTTTATTAATGGGACTATGGGAGTATAATCTCTCCATATTTTTCTTTGTTTTGTTTCTTGTTTAGGTCTTGGATTTGTAACATCAATAACCTTCATCTTCTTGGTTGGGGTGTTCATGTCATCCTGGTTGGGAGCATCCGTCCTAGGCCTTGGTGAGTGGTTCATCAAGCGGATGCCATTCGTTCGTCATATCTACAATGCCTCCAAGCAAATAAGTGCTGCCATATCACCAGGTGTGCTTTTGCTCATATTCTTGACATGGCATAATAGAAATCATTAATTCTAGATACCGTTAATCAATATCTCTTTATAAAAATATTTTATCTTCTTTTTATTTCAGATCAAAATACACAAGCCTTCAAGGAAGTAGCCATCATAAGGCATCCACGTATTGGTGAATATGCATTTGGGTTCATTACTTCGTCTGTTACTCTCCAGGTATGCAACTGGTTATTTATTCTAAAACTATTATGCCAATGAATTCCTTGGTTGTTTATGTTATTTTTCTGAACCATGGTGCTTTTGTCTTATTTCTACATCCTTGTGCGTATGGTAGGAGTGGCATGCTTGTTTGCTTAGGTTTTTTAGTAGTTAGCAGTTCAGCTTGAACTACATGGGAAACCTTTTAGCCACAAGGCAGCTATATACCCTGGGAAAGCAATCAATCATAGGCCTTTCTTTTTCACTTGTTAGAGCAATTGTTTGAGGGTTGTATTCCAAAGGAGGTTCACTGGCTTGATTCTGAAAATTTGCATCCAGTGCCACTCATGTAACAAATGTATGGTCTTTTAACACACTCTGCACTTTTGTTGGGCTAAACATGTAAATCAATGGCATTGACTCCATTATGACTTTGTAGCAAAAGCAGTAATTCTGCATGCTGCTAATGCTTCCCAAAAAATCGTGGATTGAATTCATGCATTTGTTTTCCAGATGGTCAATTCTGTGTGCATTATTGTTTTTACATGTGTGAAAAGTCTTCCATTATAGACTTGGAAATGGGGATTGGTCCTAATTCTAAGCCTTATTTTGGTTATAATTATACATGTAATAGTAGGGGCAGGGATGCAGCCATGTGGTTTGGAATGACATATAGGAGGGTTGGAGGTTCTTTAGGTCTCTTTTCCTTCCTGTTTAAGAATATCAATTCCCAGTGTGACAATGATAATTGCAGAAAGGGAAGACAGTTATAAGTGTCATTTCTTAGAAGATTAATGATGTGTTCAATTACATGCAAGCATCAAGAGACTCTTTTATGTTTTATTAATGTATTTTATTTTTTAATCTTTTAATGCAGAACTACTCCGGTGATGAGGAGCTATGCTGTGTCTATGTTCCCACAAATCATCTTTACATTGGTGATATATTCCTTGTCAATACCAAGGATGTCATCAGACCAAATCTATCAGTCAGGGAAGGAATTGGTGAGTAATTCAACTAAAGAATTTTTTTTATTCTTTTGTTAATATGGGGAAAAGTTTCATTAAGGTTATTATAGTAAAATTTTAGTACCCAGACTGTACTTTTAATGTGCAGTCCAACTTGAATTTTTTTTTTTGGAATATATGTAGAAAAATCTTGGATAAGAGTTACATTTTTTCTGGGTGTTACCCAATGAGACCTTCCAATTATTAGCTCCACAAACCGAATTTAATTCCTATCTAGTACAGGTTTATATGACGAACTAAACAGTACTGAGGTAACTCATTTGTTGCTCCATTGCAGAAATTGTAGTTTCTGGAGGGATGTCCATGCCCCAGATACTCTCAACGCTAGATACACGTGTGCCGCTGGATAGAAGTAGATCTAACTGAAGCTCAGAAAGAAGATGATAGTTGTAGAGTTGTCTATTTGTTTATTTGTTTTTATTTGGTTTCTTCTTTTAATGAATTGCCAACCAACCAACATTTCAGTAATGCAGAATTTGGGATTAGATTTTAATTTTCCTCTTTCTTTTTGGTTGTTAACTTTTAGATTATACTGTCATGTAACAGTGTTTGTTGGCATAGGATGTATTAGTGTTTGATTGGAAATATAGTTTTTTTCTTTTCTTTATTTTTTAAAAGGTGGCAAGTAAGCTCATTTGTGATTGTTTTGCT